AATGAGGTTGTGCCCTGGGGAATCAGTCGAGCGGAAGGTTATTAATGCCTCAAAAAGGGAGGAAAAAACAGAGAAAAAAATCCTCTGCACCTTCTGCGGCCGCGGCGCGAAGGCAGGGAGAGACTGTCAAACAATTAAAGTGAAGTGAATTCCCTGAGACGGAAGAAAAACGGACAGCAGCGTCCGGCAGGATGAGAAAACCGTCTGCTGACCTGCGAAGTGCAGGAGTTCAGATCAAACAGGGCGGAGGATCATTACTGTACATTCATCTGTCTCTAATCAGCCGGCTGTAATATCTGACCGGCTCCCACTGGGAGACGCGGCTCCTCTTCTGTTAACTGGACCCTGATTGGAGCCGGGCAGCGAGAAAAAAACAGGTGAACGTGTGTTTATGCTCTAATGTCAGGATTCAAACTCCAGCTGTATGATTTCACCGTTCAGAACAGCACTTTAATTATTTTTCTGTCCAATTTGTGCATGAAGCTGCTTTGCTGCACATCATGTCAGAGATGTTCCTTTTTCTGCTGCCTTCCTCCTCACTGCTGAATGTCTAATGAGGGCAGAAAAAGAAACGGCCTTCTCCAAAAGGAGGATTTTCTTCTCTAAGGTTGGAGAAACTTTTGCACATGTGCCTATTAATTATGCTAATGCCGGATGGCTCCTAATTTACACCTAAATCCAACATTTCAATGCCGTGGCAGCGACTGCTACAGAAAACAAGGAGAGGGAAAAACAAAAGCTGCCGAGGTTTTGGCAGATCAACCTGATCGAGTTTAGATAAAAACAGAAAAGATTTTATAAAACATGGAGAGAAATTTAACTGAGATACTTAGGAAAATACACAATGATTGATTGATTGATTGATGGATTGATGGATGGATGGATGATTGGATGGATGGATGGATGGATTGATTGATGGATGGATTGATTGATTGATGGATGGATTGATGACTAAATTGATGGGTGGATGATTGGATGGATGATTCATCTGATCATCCAACCAATGAATGGTTGGATGATCAGATGGATGGATGGTTGGATAATTTAATAGGTGAACAGATGAATGAACAAGCAGACGGATGTTTGGATGATCAATTGGATGGATGAACTTCCTGTTCAGGTCTTCAGACCGAAAATGTCGACTTCCTGTTATCAGTTCAGGCAGACGCTGCCTTGCTCAGCAGCACGCTGACACTAGGACCCTGAGGACTCGTTTAATTTGTCCTTCAGTGAATCACGAGAAGCTGAAATCCAGTTTTCCATCTGGAGTCCCTCCAGGCAGCGTCTGTGTGCCACACATCTTCGTCTCCATTCAGTCTAACTCACACCGCCGCGCTACATCCTCCATTGTTTCTCCGCCAACACCGCCGCAGCTCATCGTCTCTCCTCACCTTTGTGTCTCTGTCTCCTGGCGGACCGTCACGTTGGCAGGTCGCGTTCAGCTGTGACCCGACCCGACTCGCCAGGGGAAACTCAACAAACGTGGCTCCCACAGGAGAACATCGAGAGGTGACACTCCTAACAGCAGCTGGTGGATTTAAAGTCCACCATTTTGTTTCTTTTTCACAGCTCAGACACCATCCTGCTGTCGGCTGCTGTCCTGCTACCTAAACCAACAAACTGGACAAGAGGAACAGCCAAGAGTTAGAATGGCCCAGTCAAAGTCCAGACCACAAAGAGCTCTCACCCAAACTAACAATACCAATGGTGGATGAGTTTGAGTACCTGAGGTCAACCGCCCAAAGCAACAATAAGGGAAATGTTTGAGCACCAATTCAGTTTAATGATATTCACAACAAATCTCATCTCAAGACACTTTAAAAACAATCATACTTGATGTAGATGAGTTTAAACACCTGAGGTCAACGATGCAAGGCAACAGTTAGCAACTCAAATACATGAATTAGAGACGACTGGGTTTTCCTCTGTCCTCATTTCTAAGGTGATCTTGGTTTGGAAAACAGATCTTAAAGATTCCAGGACTGTCTGGTTGCTTTGTAGGAAATGCTGGGCGGTTTTACAGAAGTTTACAGCCGTAAACTAGGCCAAAGACAGTAATTTCCTCTGAAGTGAATTCTGTCCTGACTCTCCTTGTTTTCTGGATCCTTACTGGGGCTTTGCTCGTCACACCCATCAGCTCTGAAATGCTGACAATCCGCTCATTAATTTGAACGGTGCAGCCGGGTCTGAAGCGCGAGAAGCCCTCAGCCATTTCCCTAATGGTGTGCGAGCCGGCTGACTGGGGCGGAGCTGGGAATGGCGCTGGAGGTGCTGGGAGCCGAGCAGCCATGATGGCTAACCACCACAACATCCTCCTCCTTTGTTCCTCCTCTCCTCTTCTCACCCCAAACAGCTCCGCCTGTCACAGTCCGACATCAGGGTTCACTGGTCTGTCAACATTTACCAGCAGATAAAGACAGAGAGGGGGAATTTCTCCGCCCTGGAGAGCTCATCGCCGAGAAGAGTGTGTGGAAAGACGCGGAGCGAGTACTTATGTGTCTTTTCTCAATGACAGCAGCCAAACAGAAAACACTCAAGCGGGCCGAGTACATCAGAGCCCACCGGACGCCCGTGAAGCGGCTTGTTGGTGAAAAGCGACGACTGAGCAAATAGGACTCAACGCGGCCTGCAACAAGCTTCGCTAGCTTAAACTTATCTGAGAGGAGGAAATAAAAAAGCAGGACAAAGATTTGGGATTCAACAGCCTCACCAACTAATAAACATCAAGGGGATTTCTCCACACAACAACGCGGCGGCTCTTTGAAACGGTCACAGCACTGAGCCAGTGATCCACCTAGGCTCTTTTAAATTATCCGTGTTTGTCGGGAAATTTGTTTGCTAATTGGGCCACAGATGACAAAGATGTCTGCAAAGTTCCTCTGAAGCTCGTCAGGAAAAAACACAAATATCTGCTTCAAACGGCACTTTACTCCTCCGCCCCGCTGTCAAAGGAGGAACTCAAAGGGAACAGCTTGTTAATGTACAGTTAGATATATTTATTAAACTGCCATTGATCTAGAAAGGAGGAGATTTACCTCAGAAGTCAGAGTTAATCTGACGCTTCTGTGAGTCTTTAATCTGAGGTATTTCAACCTATTTTTTAAAAACAAATCCCTCCCACAGAGATAACGCCCATCATCTGCTGGATGATTTCTGGACAAAATGCAGATTATCATCGCTAATTTCTTTAAAAACTATCTATAAATTATATAAAAGCATAGATTTAAAAACATTTTGAAACACTTTTTTCATACAAATAAAAAACCTATTTAATGACAAAGTAAAAGGAGGAAATTAGAATTGTGTAAAAGAAATACTTAGAAAATGCCTGAGTCACTGGTTGCTATGGTGACTCCCGCCTTCTCTGCATAAAAGCATAAAACAAGTTTTAAAAACATTTTAAGAAAAAACCTCTTATGTGTATACGAATAGAAATTGATCTAATAATGTATTAAAGGAAGAAAATAGTTACGTAAGAAACAAACCTGGTTGCCATGGCGATTCCCGCCTTCTCTGCTGAGCCCACAGCATAAAAATGAGAAATTAACCCTTTAAACAACCAACCACTGGGGAAAAAATACAAATGTATCAAAATGATTCTGAAACCATGAGGAGTAGAAGCTTCTGGTGGACATATGTTTAGATTTTTATGAATTTACAAAGTTTCATGGAGGAGAAATGACAGGTTGAATAAATGATTTCATCCCAGTATTGAGAGGAAAACTTACAATGGGAGTGAATGGAGGTTTGGGGTGAGCACTCTGATCTTGAGGGAGATTTGACAGAAAACCAGAAGTCCTAAAGCCGTCACACACACACTGGGTAAAAGTAGACCAAATCAGTAACATTTAGATGTATATATTGCTCATTTGGAGAAAAACGTGATTTAAATTTAACAGTTTTTGAACTTTTAAATTTAAAAGTGTGTGACATCATCACACAGTTAGCTAAACATTCTGCTAAAATCTAAAAAAATCATCAAACTTCAAACTGTGGTCACATAAAAACCATGAAAGGAATAAAAACTCAAATTTCCCCAACTATAGTTCAGTTTTCTGTGAACCAACAAAACTTTGAATGACATTCCTACTGCAGAGTAATGCAGAGTTACAGAGCCCCAAATGGGCTGCATTTCCTCGTTCCTTTTGCCAAATTTATTCTGTCATATATTTGACAAAATATGTTGATTATGATGTTTTGATACCAGAAGTCAATGCAATATGTTCCTGATCGAGCAACATATTTTATAGTGTTTTGTTCAGGGTTTTTCTAATCTTATTGTATTTTAAAACTTAAAAGGATGTAAGAAACGAATCAAAATCCCCCAAATTATGAGCTAAGGACACATTTGTTTCGCAATAATCTGCAACAGATTCAAATTAAAAAGTAAAACCAGACAAACACCAGTGGAAATCGTTTTTTGTGATTCTTATTTAAACAAAGATAAAGTAAAATCCTCCACAAACTAAACAAATCAGATGTGATTTCTGTTCTGAAATGCTGCTAAATAATTAAACTTTTTACTGTCAAACATAAATGTAGTCTGACAGAATAACATGAACATTTGACGTGTTGCATTATTACTCGTATTTAAAACTTTTCAGTTGAATGTTTAAAATTCAGCTTAAAATTTGATTATTTCCGTATTTTGATCTAAAAACATTTGGGACAAGACGACATCTTTTAAATCTGGACGGCTTTAATAATGGAGGTTTTTCTACTGTTCAACTTTTCAGCGGAAGCATTTTTAAATTTTTAAACCAAAGTTAACTTGAGCATCAACATGATTATTATACTTTAAGGCTTCACCTTCAGTTCGGGCTTTAATTAGGACATTAATGAAATATGTTTGTAGGTTTTTCCAGAGAATAAATATTTTTAGAGGTGGCGACAGAAAGGCTTTTTAAAACACATCACCTCTGCATCTTGTTAACAAGATTTCCCTCAGATTGTTTCCTAAATGTCATGTGTTGTCACAGCGAAGCTCCTCACACACTTACGGCCCACGGAGGAGGCATGTGAGGCGCAGGTCACATGATCCGACTCGTCTCCCCATCATCTTCTGGTTCCCACATACGTGTCACCTGTCGATGCGATTAGAGCCGTCCGTGGGCCGGGCGATGCGTCCTGACTGAGGAAGACAAAAAGGCATCAGTCATCGGCGGTTTGCCGCAGTGTCACGGTCGCTTTGATGTCACGGAGCTGACGTGAGCCGAGCCTGGTTCTTCAGCCTGCAGCCAGGAGAAGACAAAGAGCATCAGACGTCCAGGTTGATCCCACCGAGGGCCAGGCAATGAGGCAACGAGGCAACGAGGCAACCAGGCAGGGAGTTTGGACATCAAGCTTCACCGCATTATGACACAATCGCCGAGATAATAAGCACCGTGATGTCATCGATTTGAGTTCCTGTTCAGGGTTAGAGCGTCGATGTTTGGGATTTATGAAACCGAGTAACAGGCAGGAGCAGTTAGGGTAAGGACCAACCAGGAATTAGTCAGATCCAATCAAAAATTAGTCCATTGTCCAAATTATCCAGAGGTGGGCAGAGAATCCAAAAATGATACTCAAGTTAGAGTAAAAACATATTTGGTAAAAAGTCTACTCAAGTACTGAGTAACTGATCAAATTATGCATAATTAAATATTTGAAAATTGCATAATTTTCAAATATTATGCAATGGACCAAATCTGATGGACCAAAATATAAAGTTAAGTGGAAATTTTGGTATTTTAAGGATGAAAATGACAATAATTCTTTTAAGTAACAGAAAATAACATCAAAGAAAATGTTTCCAAATCAGTTTCTTTCAACAAAAAACACTTCTAAAACATGTTTGTTTTCCATTCAGTGGATAAAAAAAATCCAGAAATTTTACTCAAGTAAGAGTAGAAATACTTCACAATAAAATAACTCAAGTAAAAGTAAAAAGTACAGCGTAGTAAAAAACTGATTCTGTTCTCATATTGTGAGAAATTTGATCTGAA